AGGAGAGGGGAGTCATGGATCCGCCTGGCCACCAGGGGGCAGCAGAGACGGGCTCACGGTCGGCTTCAAGGCTGTTCTGCAAGAGGATTCACTTCTTCCAATGCGGAGGTCACCTGCGGCCCACATTTATAACTCCCTCGGCCACTAGGCAAAAGAAGCCCCGAGTTTAGGCTGACTGAGATTTTCATTCTAGCTTTGCTATACATTTGGGCAAGCTTTACTAAGTCTGTTCTTTTCAGGGGTCTCAATTTTCTGAGTTTTTGCACAGGGATAGTATGTGCCTGGCTCACATTAAAGTGCTGGTGTAAGGATAGAGTAAGAATATAATCATGACACAAAATTCCCACAGAGCTGTAAGATGTCATTACTGGGAGTGGAAGTCCTTGGAAAGAAGGTGGATAGAAAAGTAGAGGAGGTTAGAAATGAAGATAAGAAAACAAGGTCAATCCAAGCAATATCGGGAGTGTTATGAATACTGAGTTCAGGTGATGCCATCAGCTGTTTCCTGAGGACTTGGATGAAAGATGTTTTGAAAGTTATTAGATCAGCTCAGCAGAAAGATGATAATTTTGTGGAGTCCCCCAGCAGTGAGACTTACACATGTATTGTTTCCTCAGGGAAAGGAAAGAAAAATCAGCAGCGCTCATCTCCTGGAGGCTGAGTGGCTTGTCCTCCACAGTCCCCTCGGTTTGCTGCCTGATTGGAGGAGGGAGCACTGGCAGAAGCCCTTGGCTCCTCCCCCAGATGTGAGTGGTGGGCCTGGGGTTCCCAAGGGCACTGGGGAGGGTGGTGCTCACGGGAAGGAGGCCCTTCCCTCCCTCCTCTGGGAGGGATCCCATTTCTTCCTTCACTCCTCCCTCATCACCCTTTACACCCTAGCGCCTCTACAGACAAGAAAGTCTGACTTGCCATTATTTAGAAGAATGAGGCTCTGAATTATTCTTTGAAACAGTATTTCTTGGATTTGTTTGTCTTGCAAATGTATTTTTCTGACATAGGATAGCAGATAGCCAGCTCTGAAAAAGGAGAAGGATTCAGGCTGGCCGTGACAGGGTCAGTAAGGGCCTCTGGGTGCAGAAGGACAGCTTAGCCAAATATCCTGGGAATCAGCTCCAGTCCTGTGGGACAGAAACCAGGTATTCTGTGTCCATCACTACATGGAGGGCCTTCTGTGGTATCTCAGGTCCACAGAGATGGAGGTGATAAAGCAGCAAACTATCAGAGGACAGCACAGAGTGTTCCTGGTGTGTATGCCTCCTCCTCAAACCCCTTCCCTATCCACTGTCAGCTTGGCCTCAGCAGGGGATGCAACAGACATGGAATTGGGCTTCTCCTCTTGAGACCTATAGGTCTTAGGGAATGTTCTTTCAAGTCAAAGGGAGGCGCAGCATTGCCATCTGGCCAAAGCCCAAGGAAGGAAGGCAATCAGCCACAAGGTGAGATCCTGTGGACTGAGGACTCCCTGAAAGGGGAATGAAGATTGTGATTCCCAGAGTTCATGTCATAAGAACAGGGTGACTGTAACTGTCCAAGGGCCCTCACCCAGACCCAGATTTCTCAGCAAAATCTCTGAGAGTTTTGCCACCAGAAGTCACAAAAAAAAAAAAAAGAAAAGAAAAAGGAAAGAAGGGAGGAACAGAAGGAATGAAATTAAATAAATAAATAAATTTAAGTAAATTTTGGGACCTCAAACTAATTTAGCCAAAGGGAAAAGTCAAGCTGGGAACTGGGTCATGCAAACCTGTCTCCTGCTTTTGGTTCCTAAGTAAGATGGTTACAAGGTGAAAAGCTACACGCCTCCCCCATATTTTGCACTCAAGGCAATTCCTGGTGAACTGTTAAAATTTTACCATGGCAATGCACATTGACAGCTCATCTTTACAGGTACAGTGACCCTGGGCCGCCAGACACAAATGTATATTAGATTGTTTTCCTGCCCCATTTTGTCTGTGTTAACTTATATCAAATGCAGAGTTCCCCACATTTCCCCTTTTGTTTATGTCAGCTTATGTAAGAAATGCAGATTCACTGAGCCAGACAAAGGCATAGATGACTATTTTCCCTACCTCCCTCTTATATAAAGATTGTGTACTTCTCAATATTCTGCCCTTTCCCCTTTAAATTTGGAGTCCTCAAAATCCTATTCGGAGAAAGGCATAGACCTGTGTCTTGGGCGCACGTCCTTAACTTTGGCAAATAAACATCCTGAAATGATTGAGGCTTGTCGTTTTTCTTGATTGACAAAAGAAAAAAGGAAGGAAGGAAGGAAAGAAGGAAGGAAGAGAGGGAGGGAAAAGAAAAGAAGAAAGAAAAGAAAAGAAGGGAAGAAGGGCAGGCAGTAGAACTTCTGAATAGTAAAATACCCAAACATTCAGGAGTGGAGGACTGAGGCATTCTTAGCGCTGGCTGACCTACAGTCTAAGTTGAGCTCTTTATAAACACTGCTGCCATATACTTTACAAAACGTGTCTGACAAACCAGTTTCTTTAAAATTTTTAATTAAAAAAAATTTAGGCTGGGTGCAGTGGCTCACACCTGTAACATCAGCACTTTGGGAGGCCAAGGCAGGTGGATCACCTGAGGTCTGGAGTTTGAGAGCAGCCCGGGCAACATGGTGAAACGTCGTCTCTACTAAAAATACAAAACTTAGCCAGGCATGGTGGTACATGCCTGTAATCCCAGCTCCTCAGGAGGCTGAGGTAGGAGAATCACTTGAACCCAGGAGGCAGAGGTTGCAGTGAGCCAAGATTATGCCATTGCACTCCAGCCTGGGTGACAGAGCAAGACTCTGCCTCAAAAAAAGAAAAAGAAAGAAAGAGAAAGAGAAAAAGAAAGAAAGAAAGAAAAACTTACTTTTATGAAAGAGTTATAAAAGTTTAAGATAATCACAATGATCATCTATTTTTTTTAAACGATGAAATCACCTAAAATTGATTCTACTGCTGGTGGGAACCTGTAAGAAGAATCCCAGGAAGAGATGTAAGCATCGGTGAAACTCACCTCAGCTGACTACTAAACTAATGCAGATACCCCCTTGGGAAATTGCAGGGAGTGAGGGTACAGAATGTGTTAGTCCCATCGCACTCCTCAAAGGACCCCAAGGAAGCTGCGCTCACAGAGATATCTGGGGATGTCACACACTAGAAATAGGAGACCCTATCAAACGTTGGGAGAAAGAAGGCTAAAACAAAGCACACCGATCTACTAAGCCTCCTGCATTTGCACCCATCCAGCCTGCCATCCTGCCTGGGTTCTTTTACTTGGCCCTCTTGGTGCCTCTGACAGGGGATCTCCATCTCTGAGAAGCGCATGCCCCACCAGGCTGGTCCAGTTCCTCACATGACCAGTAGATGGCAGGATTGTTCAAGAATCACCTCCGAGATTTCACGACTGCACCGCTATTTCAGAGTGGCGGAGAGGACTGAAAGTCCCATTTTAGAAAAGTTCGAAATCTTAAGTGCCAACTTCTTTTTTTCTAAAAGTGTGTTTTTATATTTCGTGGTAAACTCAGATCAAAGCTGCGGTTGGAGGCAGGAAGAGGAAAACTGCTGCTGCTGCTGAATTCTGCCACTGAACCACGCTGGGAGAGTGCAGGAGAGAGGGAGCGGGGGAGAAGGACAGAGAGAGCCAAAGAGGAAATGAGGGAGATGGGAGAGAGGACTGCTTAATTGTCTAAATTCGCTGTGATCACATCTCAGTATCAGGCACTCTTAAGGAAGCAAAGCAGAAAATATTTAATTCAGTTCTTAATGTCATTTACACTTTTAAGAGTAGAGAACATAGGCGCTAACATAATAATTCAATAACTATGAAGGAAGCAAGACAATCTTTACGGAGGTTGTGGTGTGTGGGACAGAACGTAAGGAATCGTTCATACTTCATTTAGGTTTAGCATTTCGTGATTACAGGCTAAACATGGGATGGATTACTGATGCGTTTTCTGGGAAGGTGGTGGGCAATTCCTGGACTAAGGGTTCCTCCCCTTTTTAGACCGTATAGGGTAATTTCGGACGTTGCCATGGCATCTGTAAACTGTCATGGTGCTGGTGGGAGTGTCTTTTAGCATGCTAATACATTTTAACTGGCTTATAATGAGCAGTGAGGACAACCAGAGGTCACTCTTGGGCCATCTTGGTGTTGGTGGGTTTTGGCCGGCTTCTTAACTGCAACCTGTTTTATCAGCAAGACCTTCCTGACCTGTACCTTCCGCAGACCTCCTGTCTCATCCTGTGACTGAGAATGCCTTAACCTCCTGGGAATGCAGCCCAGTAGGTCCTCATTGTACCCAGCCCCTATTCAAGATGGAGTTGCTCCCATTCAAACACCTCTGACATTTGTGGATACGTAGAAAAGAATAATTAATGGATTAGCAGGATGAAAGAAAAACTATACCTCAAAGGATACCCTACCCATTGAAATTGATATCAACTGGAATATGAAAAGAATTGGGGACAATTTAGTTTCATGACCATATATAAAACATTTAACCATGTTTGGTTGTGGGTTTTTTTATTTTGTCTTTGTTTTTGAGACGGAGTTGTGCTCTTATCACCCAGGCTGGAGTACAGTGGTGCGATCTTGGCTCACTGCAAGCTCCGCCTCTCAGGTTCAAGCAATTCTCCGCCTCAGCCTTCTGAGTAGTTGGGATTACAGGCATCCATCACCACTCCTGGCAAATTTTTTGTGTGTTTAGTAGAGATGCGGTTTTGCCATATTGGGCAGCCTGGTCTCGAACTCCTGACCTCAGGTGATCTGCCTACCTCAGCCTCCCAAGGTGCTGGGATTACAGACATGAGCTACTGCACTGGTTTGTTTTAACATAAAATTGGGCATGGGAACCTCTTTTAAAAATATTCTTTATTTGCAGATTTTACATAATTTCAGATTCCTTTTGACAAAGAATAAACCTTGCAGCCTGGAAAGCATGATTACTTATATATAAAACCCTAAGAGAGCTATTGAAAATGCCTAGAATGTGTGAATTTAACAGTGACAAAACAATACTCTAGTTTCTCTTCAAATCATATAAATCTTTCGCCTTTTACTAAAGATTTCTGTGGAGAGGAACAATTCTGAGTCTTAATCCAATTTTTTTTGAGGCCCTGTTTCTGTGGGGCTGATATTTAAAAAAAGTGACAATATACAAAAAAACAATTGTAATTCTATATACTAAACCAGGAGCAGCTGCAAGAAAAAGACCTCTCAGTCACCAAACTATGAAGGAAGACGTGGTTTATTACGGCCGGGAGCAAGGCAACATGTTTGTCCAACAGCCAAGCTTGTTTAACAAAGAGAAGCTCTGCCTTTATATAGACTTACAACTCTAGATAGTACATGTGAAAGGGTCTTGGATTTACAGTCTTAGAAATTACATGTGAAGGGGTCTTGGTCGATGGAGGAGTGGGGTGGGGGTTTGATCTTGTTTAAGTAAAAACAGTGTCTTCCAAAGAGATTCCCCCACACCAAGCCTGCCATCTACAGGAAGGTGATTCATGAGGCGCCAGTCGGCCAGGCTTTTCTCCTATTGAAATGCACTGTGGAAGTCAAGGGGGAGGTGATCCCAGATGCCTGGCTCTCCTTCCTCACCACCCCCCATCTTTGAGAACCTCACCTATAACATTACTGAGAGTTCTCAACTCTCATTCTCATTTTCATGATCCCCTGAAGAAACTGATTGATAATGATGGATGTAAAACATTTGTCATGTGGTTCTCTGGTCTTTTATAGCAGTAAAGGATTTCTTAGCCATTTAGAGGAATAAGGGGGGAAAACAAGAGAGTAATAAACAAACACCCACCATTGTTACCACACTTATGATGAGGGTTTTTAATCCTCCCAGGCCTGAGGACCACCCCTTAAACAAGAACTCAGGGTTGAATCTCTGCCATACCGGCACAGGCACGTGTGCTAGCTTGGTTATATTCTTAACTGCACGGCCCTGGTCGTTTATGTGCAGGCAGCAGCTGGTTAGTTTGATTTTTTTTTTTACAGACTCCTCCATCAGCTGCCAGCAAATAATCTAAGGCCAACCAGTTCTGATAAATGGCATTTTTCATTTGAGTTTCTTGTCCAGCCAAAATGGACAGAGCTTTGCCTCTTTCATTAACGAGTATTTCCAAGGCAGCCTGCAACCGGATGATCTGATTTAGCATATAGATAGGAGTCTGGTGTCCCGTTGAGCCATTCTCTGTCCCCGTGGCCAGCCTGTAGTGCTCAATAATTCTTTCTGGTGGCCACTTATTATTTTCGTATTTAACTAGCTTTAGACTTCTTTTCTCCCAGGCAGAGTGGACTGGATGTTTTGGCAGACAATAGGAAAGAAGAAGGCTTCGTGATGCCTATGACACAGCTACCTGTCCCTCTTTCAGGCAGCTGGACGTGTGCTCTATGTCCGCATATGCAGCACAACCCAGGCAGGGCTGTTGAGTCTCTCCCGGACCCAGAGTGATCCCAAGCATCCTGTAATTTTGGAAATTTTAGCAGGGGCTTCTTCTCTGTGTAATTTGAGCTCCACGAGGTTACAATGCCCACTGTTTCATTATATAGTCTCTGCCCTAAGCAGCTAAGCTTTCCAACTAGAAGAGTGAAGTCTGTTCCTTCTCTGGACAAACAGTATTATCCAGTAACTGAAACCTTTAAAACCCAGAAAGTGTTGGTTTGAATCCTTTGAACTGAGGTCAGGTGAGGAACAGGGTCAGAGGGTAGTAACTCCTGGGCTTTCCATGGCCACCTATCACCCATAGTAGTTCCTCCACATACATGGCACGAAGTGACATCAAGGGAATGGGCCACATTTTCAGCAAGTTGGAGGAACAAGTTCTTTGTCTTTTTAGGAAGTTCTGGCGCTGGCTTGTTTAATATACCATAAAAGTGCTGGTACATGGGCTGGCCTGAGGGCTTTTGGATTTTCCCCTGAATCTAGATACCGACTCCAAGGTCAAGCCCTTCCCCATTAATTCCTTGCATTATACTCTCCTCATTTTCCCATTTAGGGTCCTGAGGGTTTGTGATTATTAATTCTACTGGGTTACAATGTCCTGAGACACAGGGGACAGTACTCCCTGGAATGGTATCTCTCCCTTTTACAAGACGAATGGGATTATTTGTATTATTTTCCCAAGTGGCCCAGATGACACATGACCTAAAAATGCATGTACTGCAACAGTAGGTTTTCTGGCTCTTTTGCATAACTTCGTTCCCATCCGAGGGAACCACAGCGCCCCCTACTGGAATGACAGGCGTCCAACCTGAGTGCAAACTGTTTTGGGCTTCCGCTCTCTGTTTTAGCTATTAGCTTGGTAGGGCTGTCCCATCACCTTGTTTTGAGTTTAATTTCAAAAGTTGTGTAGGGGGCTCTGTTGGATCGTGGTAGACATTGGGCTGTCTGTACCCTGGATTACACACCTTATGCTGAGTACCATTATATAAACAGGTTCCCTCGGTGTCCCTGTACATTCATAATGACTGTAGAACAAAAGAATGGCAGTAACTTCACATCCTATCTTAGTAACCTGGTGTACACACTGAGATCATTCTTCGAAATTAGTTAATGTCTGTACCATACAAGTCCAAATATTAATAAGAACAAGTCCCACAATGAATTTCCTCATGCTTCGGCCGTGCATGAAGCAGCCATGAAACAAGCCAGGGAGCAGGGCTTGTTTTCCTCCTTCTTAACGTGATTCTGCAGTCATTGTCTGGGTCTGGTTTAGCTTCCCAAGTTTTAGTTCCTGCTGGTTTCACGTGGCTATGATGGATCCAGACTGGGATTCCCTCTACCTTTATGGCTGTGGGAGTGGTCAGGATCATGGTCTGGGATCCTTCCACTGTGGCTTCATAGGGACTACATTCCAGTCCTTTATCCACACGCAATTACCTGGTGAGAATGAGCTTACAAGACAGCTCTCATTTACCCAGGTTGAAATACCCTGAGTGATTCTCCCTAGGGCTTGTAACTGTTGTTCTAACGCAATCTTTCCCACACCTGAGGAGTTCCTGGGACTGCCCACAGTATGGGAGCGGGCATATGATATAACACTTCATAGGGGTAATATCCTGCCTTCTTAGAGGGAGCATGTCTAATTTTGAATAACACCAAGGGAAGTGCCTGCACCCACTTTGATCCTGTTTCCTGACACACTTTCCAAGCTATTTTTGAAGGTCCGGTTCATTCTTTCCACTTTTCTGGAACTCTGAGGTCAATAGGCAGCATGCAGTCTCCAAGTAATACCCAAGGCCATTGCTGTCTTCCAGACCAAATTTGCCAAAAATGCTGGTCTGTTGTCTGATCCAATGCACAGTGGCAGTCCAAACCTAGGGACGAGATCTCGAAGCTGCACATGGGTTATTTCATGGGCCTCCTGGCACTGGGAGCAAAGTGGCAGAGTTTAAGGCATTGCATAGATCCCAGTGGTGATGCGGGATTTTCATTTTAGCAGGCTCAGGTATTTGGTTGGCCTAGCATTTGTTACCAATGGTGTCCTTTGGTATTCATTATAGTCACTAATGTGTGGGGTGCTGTGATATTTAAATTTTTCCCAGAGCTGATGCTAGAACTTCAAATGCCATTTCCCCCTCTCTTTCTGACACATACAGCATGAGAGGCTTTTAAATTGGGTAGCCCCACCAATGACCTTCTTCACAGAACTACAAAAAACCACCTTAAACTTCACATGGAACCAAAAGAGAGCCTGCATAGCCAAGTAAATTCTAAGCAAAAAGAACACAGTGGGGGGCATCACACTACTAGACTTCAAACTATACTACAAGGCTACAGTAATCAAAACAGCATGGTACTGGTACCAAAACAGAGATATAGACTAATGGAACAGAACAGAGGCCTCAGAGGCAACACAACATATCTATAACCATCCAATCTTTGACAAACCTGACAAAAACAAGCAATGGGGAAAGGATTCTCTGTTTAATAAAGGGGAAAACAGGCTAGCTATGTGCAGAGAGCAGAAACTGGACCCCTTCCTGACACCTTACACTAAAATTAACTCCAGATGGATTAAAGACTTAAACATAAGACCTAACACCATAAAAACCCTAGAAGAAAATCTAGGCAAAACCATTCAGGACATAGGAGTAGGCAAGGACTCCATGACCAAAACACCAAAAGCATTGGCAACAAAAGTCGAAATAGACAAATGGGACCTAATCAAACTCCACAGCTTCTGCACGGCAAAAGAAACAGTCATTAGAGTGAATCGGGAACCAACAAAATGGGAAAAAATTTTTGCAGTGTACCCATCTGACAAAGGGCTAATATCCAGAATCTACAAAGAACTAAAACCGATTTATAAGAAAAAAACAAACAAGCCCATTCAAAAGTGGGCAAAGGATATGAACAGACACTTTACAAAAGAAGACATACATGAGGCCAACAAACATATGAAAAAATGCTCATCATCACTGGTCATTAGAGAAATGCAAATTAAAACCACATTGAGATACCATCTCATGCCAGTTAGAATGGCAATCATTAAAAAATCTGGAGACAACAGATGCTGGAGAGGATGTGGAGAAATAGGAACACTTTTACACTGTTGGTGGGAGTGTAAATTAGTTCAACCATTGTGGAAGACAGTGTGGCGATTCCTCAAGGACCTAGAAATAGAAATTCCATTTGACCTAGCAATCCCATTACTGGGTATATATCCAAAGGATTATAAATCATTCTACTATAAGGACACATGCACACAAATGTTCATTGCAGCACTGTTTACAATAGCAAAGTCCTGGAACCAACCCAAATGCCCATTGATGATAGACTGGACTGGGAAAATGTGGCACATATACAACATGGAATATTATGCAGCAATCAAAAACGACGAGTTTGTGTCCTTTGTAGGGACATGGATGAACCTGGAGACCATCATTCTCAGGAAACTGACACAAGAACAGAAAATGAAATACCACATGTTCTCACTCATAGGCAGGTGTTGAACAATGAGAACACATGGACACAGGGAGGGGAGCACTACACACTGGGGTGTGTTGGGGGGAATGGGTGAGGGACAGCAAGGGGTGGGGAGTTGGGGAGAGATAGCAGGGGGAGAAATGCCAGGTGAAGGGGAGGAAGGCAACAAACCACACTGCCATGTGTGTACCTA